ACTCGAACCCCGGTCGACTACGCGGGAGTCCAACGACATAGCCATTACGCTAACTGCTGGTCCCAGGAAAAGGGTTTTTTTAAAAAAATTATTATTTTATTTAACTTTATTTATTTTAATTTGACCAGAGAGGGACAGAGAGACAGTGAGAGAGAGACAGAGAGAAAAGAAGTCTCCAGGTCCAGGACTCGAACCACCATGGGCCATGTGGGAGTCCAGTGCCCTCAACCATCACCCCATCTGCTGTCCCCTATATTTTTTTCTTAAGAGAGGTTTTTCTGCTGTAGGGTGTGTGTGTGTGTGTCATGTCGCAATCCCTTCTCCTCCATTCTCCTCTCGGGATCTTGGGCACGCACGCACACGAGCCTGGTGTGAGTTTCAAGCAACCAGGTCTGGGACTTGAACCATGGTTGACTATGTGAGAATCTAGCAATGTCCATTATGCCATCTTCTGGTCCCAGAAATTTTATTTTTTATTTTATTTATTTATTTTTAGTTTACTAAAGGCTGCATGACTCACCAGAGAGAAACAGAGAAAGAGGAAGAAAGTGAGAAATCACACCCCATTGGGGATAGCCACACTGCCATCCTTTCTCCATTCTCCTCTAGGGATTTTTGACCCACGCATGCACGCGGGCCTGATGTGTTTTGTTTTTTTTCAGGTTTTTACCACAGGCCATGTGTGCTTGCCAGAGAGAGACAGTGAGAGGGAAAGTGAGAAATCACTCCCCAGGGGGATGGCCATGCCACAATCTCTCCTCCTCCATTGTCTTCCTGGGGTTTGGGGCATACATATACACACGCCTAATAGGATTTTCAGGCTGCTAGGTCTGGAACTCAAACCATGGTTGGCCATGTGGGAATCCACTGCCTTAACCACCATGCCACCTGCTGCCTCTTCCATTCTTTTTAAAGAATTATTTATTTAGTTTCTTTTAGTCATTCATTTGTTTTTTTGATTTGATCAAAGAGAGATACACAGAAAGAGAGAGAGAGAGAGAGAAAGTGAGAAAGCATGACACCAGGTCCAGGATTTGAACTGTGGTCAGCCATGCGGGAGTGTCCAGTGCCTTAACCACCACGTCACCTGCTGGTCCCCTCTTCCATGTTTCTTTTAAGCTGCCGGGTCCAGGACTTGAACCAAACAGTATGCTCTGTGAGATCCAGCTGCCTTAACCACCACGCCACTGGATGGTCTGAAAATAAAGGTTTTTTTTTTTTTTTGAGAGTTTTTTATTTTGCTATAGGGCACATGTGCTCGCCAGACAGAGAGAAACAGAGAGATAGAAAGTGAGAAATCACCCCCCAGGGGGATGGCCACACCACAATCCCTTCCCTCCATTCTGTTCTCAAAATCTTGGGCACACACACCCGGCAGGAGTTTAAGCCACCGGGTCCGGGACGCGAACCGCGGTCAGCTACATGGGAGTCCAGCGACATAGCCATTACGCCAACTGCTGGTCCCCCCCCCGAAAAAAAAAGGTTTTTAATACCTATCTTTGTATCACTCCCTTTCCCTCTCCCACACTCTCTCAAACTTAAAACAAAATAAAATGCATACACTATAGAAAAGAATAGGTCAGGGGGCCAGCAGGTGGCATGGTGGTTAAGGGCACTGGGTTCCCACATGGCCAACCACGGTTTGAGTCCTGGACCCAGCAGTTTGCTTTTCTCCTACCCCCCTCCCCACCCCTCCACTCTGTCCCTCTAGTCAAATTAAAAATAAAGAAATAAATAACGTTAAAGAAAATAATTCTTGGGGGGGAAAAGAAAAGAAAAAGAAAGAGAAAAAGAAAAAGGTCGCACGTTTGATTCTGGGAATCTTGTGGAAAGTTTGGACACTCTGGAACACCTCGTCTCCCACTGAGGTTTCTCCCTCTTCCGTTGTCTCGTCAGATCAGCGCCTGGCGTCTGGAAACCGCAGAACTGGTTTTCCGTATCCTGGGGGATGCGGCGGATCCCTGGATGTGCGCGGGCGTGGTGGCTTCTCAGGCCAGGCTGCTGACAGTGTCTGAGGGTGGCGTGGTCAGTCTGTGGTGCTCAGCCACGGGAAAGCTGGAGGGGAAGAAAGCTTTGTCCAGCGTCCAAGGAGAGACACCCACGTGCGCGGTCTCGGTCCAGAAACCAGGGAAGATGATTATCGGGTTTAGCGACGGCTCCGTGTCCTTGGTAAGCGACTTCTCTAAATATGACTTGTACATGAACTCGCCTCGAAATGGGCCACCAGATAGTCCGGGGGTGAAGGTAGCTTGGATCCGGGACCAGCAGTTAGCATCATGGCTATGTCGCTGGACTCCCACGTAGTCGACCGCGGTTTGTGTCCCGGACCCGGTGGCTTAAAGCTCACGCCAGGCGCGTGTGCGTGCGTGCCCAAGATCCCGAGAGGAGAATGGAGGAGAAGGGATTGCGGCGTGGCCATCCCCCCTGGGGGGTGATTTCTCGCTTTCTGTCTCTCTATCTCTCTCTGTCTGTCTGGCGAGTGTACGCACCCTACAGTGAAAATCTCTCAAAAAAAAAAAAAAAAAAAAAAAAAAAACTGGACTGGGGAGTGTGGTGGTTAAGGGCGCTGGACTCCCACATGGCCACGGATTGAGTGGAAGCTTGCTTTCTCACTTTCTCTCTCTCATTCTCTTTCATTCTTTTCCTCTCTGGTCAAGTTTAAGTAAGTAAATAAATGAATAAATAAAGTTAAATAAACAATTCTTAAAAAAAAAAAAAAAAAGAAAGAAACACACACTGGGCATGCGTGCACGTGTGCCCAAAGTCCTGAGAGGAGAATAGCAGAGGAGGGATTGCAGTGTGGCCATCCCCCCAGGGGGAGGTGCTTTATCACTTTCTCTTTTCATCTCTCTCTCTCTCTCTCTCTGGTGAGTGCATGTGTCCAATAGCAAAAACTAAAAAACAAACAAACAAGCAAAAACAAAAAAGAAAAGAAAAGCCGTACCCTCAGAGGAACAGCGTCTACAAGTCCAGAAGTGTGGAGCGTTGGGATGGTTCCTGTGATTCCTGAGAGGCCATATTTCCTCCTCCTCATTCTCACCTCCTCAGCAGGGCCTACGCCATTCTCCACGATAGGTCTTTTTTTCTTTCTTTTTCTTTTTTTTTTTTTTTTGAGAGGTTTTTGCTATAGGGCGAGTGCGCTCACCAGATAGACAGAGACAGAGAGACAGAAAGCGAGAAATCACCCCCCCCGGGGGGGATGGCCATGCCGCAATCCCTTCTCCTCCATTCTCCTCTCGGGATCTTGGGCACGCACGCACACGCGCCCGGTGTGTGTTTTAAGCCACCGGGTCGGGGACGCGAACCGCGGTTGACTACATGGAAGTCCAGCGACATAGCCATTATGCTAACCGCTGGTCCCAGAATTTAA